CATCAAGATTTATGAGAGAAAGGACAGGCAGCTAGACCCCATTGGATGCCCTATCTATATAAGGACAAGTGGCAAAATTGGCAGCTTATAGAACCGCTGTTCGAGAAAGGTTACCATTTGTATGTAGATAATTTCTACACAAGTCTCCCATTATTCCGCCATCTCTATTTGAAGAAAACTGTGGTCTGTGGGATAGAACTGGCCAACCGCAAGGGCTTCCCACAATGAATGGTCACTACAAAGTTAAAACAGGGTGAAACAGCCAGTTTGCGGAATGAAGAGATCCTAGCTCTAAAGTGGAACGATAAAAGAGATGTCTATATCCTTTCCTCAATTCATGATGACACCTCGGTGGAACTTCAAGCAAGACAAGGTCCTGTCCAGAAACCAAGATGCATACACGACTATAACCAATTCATTGGGGGGGGATATGAATGACCAGATGTTACAGCCATACTTAGCCAACAGGAGATCACTCTATCGGTATAAAAAGGTTGCTATCTACTTGTTTCAGTTAGCCCTGTGCAATTCATTTTGCCATCTTTTCTAAGTGCACACCAAGATCCCTAACCTACCTAAAGTATCAAGAGGATATTGTTACAGCCCTTCTCTATGGCCATGCCCCTGAACAAATTCACTCTGCTTCATTGACCAGACTCCATGAGAGGCATTTCCCCAATATCCTCCCTCTTAACCTAACAGGCCGCAAACCCCCCCAAAAAAATGTTGTGTATGTTCCAGTAACCATATTCGCCATGACACCCGATACTACTGTCCCCAATGTCCTTCCCAGCCAGGACTCTGTATTGGAGAGTGATTCCACATCTATCACACATCTCTACACTATTAGTCAATATATTTTTCCAGTGTCCACTATCTGCTATTTCCCTGTATGACCTGGACTGCTTATCAACAATGCCTCTGTTTGCCACCTGAACTGACCTTGGACTGTTTATTGACGATTCCTCTGCCTGCCGCTTGAACTATCAACCACGTTTCTGCCTTCCACGTGAATTGATCTCAGCCTGTTAATCGACCATGTTTTTTGCCCGCCTCCTGAACTGATCTTATGCCCTGCGACTCTATTAGTTGGATTCAAGACAACATAGGGGTCTCATGTACGTGAGGGGCTCCAGAATAGATTTTCAGAGTGGAGAAAACAATGTTTTTGGTTTTCTCCAGGTTTTGTAATTCTCAGAAAAGGGTCAGTTAGTCCGGAGGCTTCGAAGAGATTGGGTGGGACGAAGCCTCTACCCCGTGCCCAGGTCTTACCTGACCAAGGCCCTAAGCCTGATATTTCTGCCTGCTGCTGACTTACTGCCATCATACCTCTGCCTGCCGCATGAACTGACCACACCTCTGCCTGCTACCTGTACTATGGACCATGTTCCTGCCTACTACCAGGACTGATATTTTGGCTGTGCTGGCCATGTGTCTGCCTGGACAACTCATTTGGCTGTTGCTGACCGCATGTCTTCCTGCTTCCTCAACCGATGCTTTGGCTGTGCTGGCAATATCTGGGCCTGCTGCCTGTAGTGACTATGAACAGTATTCCTTCCTGCTGCCTGGATGATTCCTTTCGATGTCACTGACCACGTCCCTGCTTGCTGCCTGTACCAATGCTCTCCTCTCTGGACAACTGCACTATTAAAACTACATGCACTTTTTTTTGTTTACCCTTTGCTCAGCAGAATGTATTTGTGGGGTGTAATTCTTGGTATGTACATGCTATGTGTTAGAAGCCTGAAAGTGCTACTTGGATGTTGGACTCTGGATTTGGCAAAGCTGTGGAAAAGTCTGACACATGTGGTATCACCATACTGGGGTGGAGTAGCAGAATGTATTTTGGGGTTTAATTCTTGGTATGTACATGCTATGTGTTAGAAATATCTTATAAATGGACGACTTTGTGTAAAAAAAAAAAATACATTTTCATTTTCTTTCCACATTTTCTGAAAACTTGTGGAAAAAAAAAATGACATGTTCAAAAGACTCGTTATATCATAGAATATATACTGGGGTGTTTGCTTTCCAAAATGGGGTCATTTTGAGGGTAATTCCATTGTCCTGGTGCTGCAGGGCCTTCAAAAATGTGATAGATAGTCAGGAAATGAGATTTGCTTCTTGGATGTTGGGCCTCTGTATGTGGCCAGGCTGTGGAAAAGTCTTACACATGTGGTATCCCCATACTCAGGAGGAGTAGCAGAATGTATTGTGGGGTGTAATCTTTGGTATGTACATGCTATGTGTTAGAAATATCTTATAAATGGACAACTTTGTGTAAAAAAAAAACTCAGGAGGAGCATCAGAATGTGTTTGAGGTGAAGCTGCAAGTATGCATATGCTGTGTGAGAGGCATAACCTGTTAATATAACAGTTGTGTGAAAAAAAAAACATTTTATTTACTTTCTTCATTTTCCAAAGAATTGTGCGGAAAAAAATAACAGGTTCAAAAAAACTCACCATGCATCTTTCTAAATACCTTGGAATGTCTACTTTCCAAAAAAAGGTCATTTGGGGGGTATTTGTACTGTCCTAGCTTGTTAGTGTCTCAAGAAATGAGATAAGCCGTCAGTACATCAGGTTTGATCAGGTGTGTTCAATTTTCAGTGATTGATACCATAGCTTGTAGACTCTATAACTTTCACACGGACCAAATAATACACACCGATTCGATTTATTTTTACCAAAGCAATGTAGCAGTATACATTTTGGCCCAAATTTATGAAGAAAAATTACTTATTTGCAAACATTTTTTTACAAAAATGAAGAAACATTTGGGTTTTTTTTTTTAATGTTTCGGTCTTTTTTAATTTACAGCGCAAAAAATATAAAAAACCCAGTGATAATTAAATACCACCAAAAGAAAGCTCTATTTGTGTGAAAAAAATGACAAAAATTTCATTTGGGTACAGTGTTGCATGACTGAGTAATGATCATTCAAAGTGTGACAGCACTGAAAGCTAAAAATTGGTCTGGGCAGGAAGGGGGTAAAAGTGCCCAGTGTTGAGGTGGCTAAGGTAGGCTCAGTAAGGCGACCCAGACATTAGTCATTTTTTTCGTTCAACAACGTGTTGAACAAAAAGACAGATTCAATGTGGATAGGGAATCACTCACGCTTAGGTAATGTGTTCTGACAGTGAAGAAACTTAATTGCCACCAGAATACACTGATCAGTGCTGCCAGCTAAAGCCGGCGCGGCTAATTGCACAGAAATTTTCCTAGAGGCTGATTGTACAGAAGTCGATTGGTAGATCGACTTCTGTACAACCAGTCTGCCCGTATATGGATTGAAATTTAACTGGTCCCTACTGAAGCAGGTGAATTTTGATCCAAGTATGGCCGCCTAGGAGCAAAATATCCTTTTTGTGTGCATAAAAACATATGAAATAGAAACAATTAATTTAAAAAATGTTCCCTTGTCCTGAGATTTATTTGTGTCCACCTGTCCATTCTTCCACCTATGATAGGCATACAGCAGTAATGAATTTATAGGGATCTGTGTTGTACATCTAAGCTAGCAACAACGTTTATTTTTATTGTAATTTTGTGTATTGGAAAAGTTTATGACAGTTCACATCATCCACTTCCACACAATGGAAGTGTGGAAAAATGTCTGCATACAAAATGCAACTATAGTAACTCTAATTATTAAACAACCTGGAATTGGCTTTGGTTAATCCATTACATTTGCGTTTTTTTTTTGCTTTTTTAGAATTCTTTTTTTCAGCTGCCTGCAGGTGGAGCCAGTGCCTTATTTTATAACTACGAGAACCTGAAGGTTTGGAAGCTCTGTGTGTCTCTTGTGTTCATTCACTCTTTCTATGACACCCTATATTGATTTCACATTGATTCACTTGGACGTGCAGGTGCTAACAGCCTTCACTAGACAGCTTTCATTACAGCCATAGTAAGGTGATTATAATAATCAATTCATCAAAATTTCAAGTGCTAAAGTTCTAACATTATACAGTTTTGTATTATGAACAGTTAATTAACATTTTTTTTTAGTTTTCTGCCATTCTGATCTTCTTGTTTCATAATCATTTGTATGAAAAATTGTATCTGTAGTGTAATTATTTACATTTTTATATTCTTTATAATTATTTGGTACGATACTATAACATAAGTAATCTTATTTAATGGCTCAGAATTATAACGTACACTATATTGACAAAAGTATTGGGACACGTGCCTTTACATGCACAACTTTAATGGCAATCCAGTCTTAGTCTGTAGGTTTCAATATTGAGTTGGCCCACCCTTTGCAGCTATAACAGCTTCAACTCTTCTGGGAAGGCTGTCCACAAGGTTTAGGAGTGTGTCTATGAGAATGTTTGACCATTCTTCCAGAAGCGCATTTGTGAGGTCAGGCACTGATGTTGGACGAGAGGGCCTGGCTCGCAGTCTCCACTCTAATTCATCCCAAAGGTGTTCTTTAGGGTTGAGGTGAGGACTCTGTGCAGGCCAGTCAAGTTCCTCCACCCCAAACTAGCTCATCCATGTCTTGCTTTGTGCACTGGTGCGCAGTCATATTGGAACAGGAAGGGGCCATCCCCAAACTGTCCCCACAAAGCTGGGAGCATGAAATTGTTCTGGTATGCTGATACCTTAAGAGTTCCCTTTACTGGAACTAAGAGGCTCAAGCCCAAGCCCTGAAAAACAACTCCACACCATAATCCCCCTCCACCAAACTTTACACTTGGCACAATGCAGTCAGGCAAGTACCATTCTCCTGGCAACCGCCAAACCAAGACACATCCATCGGATTGCCAGACAGAGAAGTGGGATTTGTCATTCCAGAGAACACGTCTCCACTGCTCTAGAGTCCAGTGGTGGCATGCTTTATACCACTGCATCCAACGATTTGCATTGCACTTGGTGATGTATGGTTTGGATGAAGCTGTTCAGCCATGGAAACCAATTCTATGAATCTCTCTACGCACTGTTGTGCTAATCTAAAGGCCACATGAAGTTTGGAGGTCTTTAGCTATTGACTCTGCAGACAGTTGGAGACTTCTGCGCACTGTGCGCTTCAGCATGCACTGACCCCGCTCTCAACCACTTTGTGGCTGCGTTGCTGTTGTTCCCAGTTTCTTCCACTTTGTTATAACACCATTAACAGTTGACCATGGAATATTTAGTAGCAAGGAAATTCATGGATGGAATTATTGCAGAGGTGGCAACCTATCACGGTACCACGCTTGAATTCAATGAGCTCCTGAAAGTGACCCATTCTTTCACAAATGTTTGTAGAAGCAGTCTGCATGCATAGGTGCCTGATTTTTTTTTTTATACCTGTGGCCATGGAGGTGATTGGAACACCTGAATTTAATCATCTGGAGGGGTGTCCCAATACTTTTGGCAATATAGTGTAGTAGTAAGCCCCACTCAAACGTAATTAAAATATTCTGAAAAAATAAACTTGTGTGATGTAACTATAAAAAAAATACAGTGGACCTAGATACACTTTTTGTTTTGATAAAGTGAACCTGAACTCAAAAAGTGAAGATGCGCTATGTTTTATAGAACATCTAGATATGTTTATTGTGCCTTTAGTAATTGCCTAAAAATGAACTGACATTTAGAGCCATTTGCATTCAGGGTATCCCTGCATGCATACAGCCCTAAAAGCGAGTTCCACTCGATACAGCATACAGCTAGGCATATTTCAGCCTGTCATAGATTTTGACAGGCTGTTGCCGGTGAGGCTGAACACTGCACCTGTGCTTCCTGGGTGCTCGAAAACACCAGGGTTTGGTGTAGATGGGCAAAACCGCTCATGTGTATATAGCCTAACTCTTAATCTTCCTGTATTAAAGTGGGCCTTGAATGAAAATGAAAGGTCCATTTTAATGATAGCCCTCCATTCCCCACATAAAGTTGTATAAAAGTTAAAAAAGATTATACTAAAAAAAATCTTTAGAACAAAAATTTTAAAAAACCTAACTCACACAAACAAACTCCACATCCTATAGGCACTGGCTATGTTACCTTGTTGTTACGTTGTTGGGTCTTTAAGTTATAGTGAGAATACACTCCTTAGCTGTGCAATGAAGGTTCACTATTGCCTGCGGTAGGTTGAATACATAATTTTCCTTTTTAATAATAAAGGGTACTTACTGTATAATATACAGTATATCAGCCATCACCAATTAACAATATTACCTCTGACAGGTAAAAGTGAATAGTATTGATTATCTGTTTGATATGGTATTTGAAGGTGGGTGGAATTGTTATGCAACAAGTAAATATGTTGTTCCCGAAGTTGATGTGTTGAAAGCAGAAAGGGCCAAATTGTAATGGCTAGACAACTGGTTTAGAGCATCTCCAAAACTGCAGCTCTTGTGAGATGTTCTAGTTTGCAGTGGCCAGGACCTATCAAAAGCGGTTCAAGAAAGGAAAACCAGCAAACTGGCAAAAAGGTCATGGGTGGTCAAGGTTCATTGATGAACGCGGGGAGCGAAGACTGACCTGTGTAGTCCATTTCTACTGTAGCTCATATTGTCGAAAAGTTCATGCTGGTTCCAATAGAAAGGTGTCAGAAGACACAGTGCATTGCAGTTTTTTGCATATGGGGATGCGTAATGGCAGGCCAGTCAGGGTAACCATGCTGACCCGTGTCCAAAGCCAAAAGCGCATACAATGGGCATGTGAACATCAGAATGGACCACGGAGCAGTGCTGGCCCAAATGAATCACATTTTCTTTTACATAATGTGGGTGGTGCGTATGTGGCACTTACCTGAGAAGAGATGGGACCAAGATGCAGTATGGGAAGAAAGTGAGGCAGTGTGCTTTTAGCAATGTTCTGTTGGGAAACCTGTCCTTCATGTGGATGTGTTACTTTGACACATACCACCTACCTAAACATTGCTGGTGACCAAGTACACCCCTTCATGGAAAACAGTGTTCCCTGAAGGTAGTGGCCTCTTTAGAGCATGATAATGCATCCTGGCACACTGTACAATTGGTTCAAAAATGGTCTGAGAAACACAACAATTTCAAGGTGTTGGCCTCCAAATTCTCCAGATCGCATTTCAATCGAGCATCTGTGGGATGGGTGTGAAGTACAGTCCAATACGTGGAGACCCCTCCTCTCGACTTACAGGGTTTAAAGAATCTGCTACTGATGGTTTGATGCCAGATATCACAGAATACCTTGAGAGGACTAGTGGAGTCCATGCCTAAATGGGACAGGACCATTTTGGTGGCAAAAGCAAGAATTGTGGCTGCAGAAAGGGGGATCTAATCAGTATTAAGTGGGTGGTCCTAAAGTTATGGCTGATTGGTGTATATTTACTCTATATACGTTGTGAGTTATATTGTTTCATGGCAGCAATTTTATTGTTGCATAGTTGTACAATTGCTGTAACATTAACTTTAATTTTGCTGAACAGCTAGTTTGAGAAAAATGTGCAGTAGAAAGATTCAATGTTTTTGCAGTGCTTTTGCAGAATTCCCATAGACCAGGGGTGTTTAACTGTGGCCCTCCAGCTGTTACAGAACTACAAGTCCCATGATGCATTTAAAGGCTGACCGTTACAGACATGACTCCTAAAAGCAGAGACATTATGTTCCGCAACAGCTGGAGGGCCATAGTTTGACACCTCTGTAATAGACATTGTATGCAAGATAGTAAGTTAGTAGTAAAAGGTTCTATGTCATGCTAGTGGGCAAAAGTAAAAATCGATAACATCTCAGTTGCTTAGTTCACTTATATAAAAGCACTATTTTTTCAATAGTCCACCCTAAGACAATCCTTTTTTTTATTGTTATAATTTTATATGTATTATAAGAGTCCATGCACTCTGAGCTTAAATAAATGCTGCTTCTACAGGAGTTTTGTCTGTTGCCAGTAAATGCAGCTCAGTGTTATCCTATGTGTCCACGCACACTAGGATGTTTAGAGGCATATCTTAAATCAGATCTCCAGTCTCATCTGAAAGAAATAAAAGCCAGTTGCTACAAAAACTGTAGCTGCTGACTTTTAAAAAAACAGCCACTCACCTGTCCTTGCGGGTTCACAGCCGGGTGCCCACTGCGCATGTGCAAGCAGCACTGAGCATTGTGAATGGTCCTGTAGTGTTATGGGACCTGTCATGTGTCAAAGAAGACTATGGGGAGGGAGAGGGAAGGAAAACTTCCATCGGGGGGCAGGTACTTGCCAAAATCAGGAATCTGCTCCCCGAAGGTGTCAATTCCTCAAGGAAAGTGGGGGACCAATCCTTAAAGTGGAACTTCCCCTTTTTGATGGAGCTCCTCTTTAAGCTCAGTGTTTATAGACAGAAAAAAAACCCTTATTGTTTGTGTTTTTGAGAGGAGATTTCTGGCAAAAAAAATGCTAAACGCTCCTAAACACCTGTACAAACACACTCTATATGTGATTTCCTTTTCTGCATTTTTTTAAGCCCAGTGTGCATAGACCCTAAGTAGCACTTATTGTGGCATGGTCTTTTTGCAGTCAGGCCAATGTCAGAGAGAAGCAGTAGACACCATATGGAGGTCATTGTCAGGTGAATGAATTTTTAACCAGGTTATTTTTTTTGGTTTCCTTTAAGATCATACCAGTACTGAGGGGTTCTGTCCTTTCTGACTATCCCTGCTCTCCAATATGTAAACATCCAGATTCAGAAAATGTGAATGCAATTGCTGCTTAAAGAATAAAAAGATCATTTGACTGTCACCTAATGACAGCACATCATAAGGCCTCCTGATTTCTGTGGCTAGATAGGGAAAAGTAAACAAAATCCAAATAATATCAGTTTTACGTTCTACTACAAACACAAAGACATTTCCTAGAAAAAAAATCTGAAATGTTCTGATCCTTCTTACAACAATAATTGAAGTAATTTAAAAATGCTTTTGGTGAATTTCTCTTAGGAAATTTGTAAAAATGCATGTTTTTCTGTATACAAATGCCTCCTTGATGTATAGTGACTTTAGTATTACCCTAAGCCCATTTGTGTATTAAAGCACCTCTATTTAATTAGGTAACATGACAGCATAATCTTTGAAGTAAATGTTTATACTATGATGCTTATCAATTGTTATTGTAATATTAATCCAATTCAATTTAAAATATTTCATTTTATTTTAGTGAGCCACTTTCAAAGCATACCAGGGCATATGGGCTGGTAACTGCATCGTGGATGGCCTGCACAGTGAAGAGCCCTCCAGACATGCAGATACTTGGTGCTTACCATGTCTGGAGTGCCACAAGCTTTTTTTTTTTTTTTTTTTTTTTTAAATGTGTTAAAAATTGTTAAAAAAAAACTATTATAGCATCAATGCTTTTACAACACAGAATCAGCACTGTGGACAGCTCAAAAGACCACTTCTTAGTATTCATTTTACACACAGTACCAGCTGTTATAGTAATGCTATAACTGAATCTGACACTTTGGAAAGCAGGCAGTACTTTAATCTACTGTTGGCCCTTTGCCCACTGTGATGGGGTCCTATAGTAAGGCACAATAGACAGGAAGGAGGGAGCTGGCAAACATTAAACCTTTTCGCATATGGAAGGTACCCAGTTAGTAACACATAGGCACCCTGAAAGTGCCCACTCTATATCTTAAATTAACTTATGATGTCTCATCCAGAAAAACAATGTCCTCAAGTATAAAGTGCCTTTAGATGCAAAGTTATTTGAATGTCAGGCTGTTCTGAAAGACAAAATTGTGACACTTCTAGGTAGTATTGAAGCTTGCTGCTCCTTCCAACTTTTTACGCCTTCCTTCCTTACTCATTGGACCATAGTAATGTGCAGGAGGCAGAACTGGGAGGGTAAACCTGGACTATCAGAATGACCAAGCACTTGGGAATAAAAACAGAATTAAAAGCTGTAGTGGATATGTGCAGGTACCTCTAGGGCTTGCACATAATACATGACAGTTGCTTTTTTACTAGACAGATTTGCTTTCAGCTGCAGTTTTAATATTGCCACTAGTATGCTTTACATTGAATGGTAATCTAACATGCAGCACCATGACTCTTCATAAGGGAGTTATCAATCATGTGACATACTGTATATTCTATATATACAGCATATCGTCAAATAATTATGCATTGAACACCTGACGAAACAATATTTAGTGTATTTAGTGTCCCTTAGGGACCCATATCACTCGTCATTTAACAAAATGTGTAAAATCAAAGTAATGCTTTCTTTCTATATCTCTGTATCAATAGTTTAAAATAAAGATCATTAGAATGTGACACTTATTGTGATATGTGTTCTTATGTCAAAAAAACTGATGGTGTAATTAAACATTTCCCATTATTCTAGCCCAAAACTTTAGACCAGTAATCTACTACAATATATTAGATTTCCCTAAACATTTTCTGAGACAAATTTGATAGAACAGTAAGAATATTG